GAAAAAAATAGCAAATTTATTTCATCATGCCAAAGCACTTTGAAACTTATAGAAACTCGGAAGTTTTCTGGAGATCCGCTGGGGATCTTCTGGAGGATCCGAACGCTGACAACACGTAGTTTCTTGTCTGAACGAGTCTATTTGGTGTATAGACCTAAAAAAGCGCAGCTCAGTGTGGTAAAAGTGCATTTTATAGTATGAAATATGTTGGCATACACTAGTACATATGCCGCACATGTTTCTGCACATGCCCATCGCATGCGCAATGATCGATTACCTATAAGCTTTTGACTTTAGGTAACAAATATGGAAGTAACTCCGCAATTTTCGATTGTGGCTTTCTGAAGACCCGCTGGAGAATCCGAAAGCTAACAACACCTAGTTTCTTGTCTGAAAAAGTCTGTTTGGTACACAGAACTAAAAAACCGCAGTTCAGTGTGGTAAAAGTGAATTTTGTAGCATGAAATATGTCAGCATACACTAGCACATGTGCCACACATGTTAACCCTTAACAACCTTCTTGGGTAATTTGGTACAGTAAACTAGGTCTGAAAAAATACACAGAATATCCATGAAATATAATATAACGGGAGAAAAAGAATGCATTTCTTTTTCAGTTTAACAAGACAGGGTCAAATTCGGATCAGGACTGACAAATATACAGAATGTTCTTTTTCTCCTGAAAAACAGGCGGACAGCACAATCGAAAATTGCGAAGCTGAAGTTTCTGTTTCAAGAAAAAATAAAATTGCGACCATACAGTATAATGTCACGGAAGCAAAATACTTCACAATTTTTTCTTCCTTTACCCGAAGCACAAAAATGACATTTTCGTATTTGATTTTAATTTCAATCTTTACCTTGTAACAGAAACAAGTTTTATTATTCTTACATAAAGTACCCGTTGGCAGAATATTCGCTTACAAGTTATAACAATTAGTCAGTAACAAAAAGATTATCACTGACCTACACTAAGAAACTGCACAATGAATGTAAGGTGGCGGTAATTCAAAATTTTGGCTGAATTTTTATACATAGTTAGATAGACCACATCGAGCTCCCTAAGAAAAGATGGGTTTTAGCTTTTCAGAAAGAAAATTTTTTAAAAAAGTGAAATTTTAAAATTCGTTAAAAAACGCTTAGTTTTTAAAAATAAGCTAAAATTTTACTTTTCATCATAGAATTTTTTTAACTCAAGCGGTACTTTCAAATGGTCTTGCGTTACAGTGCAAAAGTGTCTAGTTTTTTGCATTAAAGATTAAGTTATTCTTTTTATTTCAATTTAAATTAACGCCAACTTAATCCGTTAAGGGAAAAAGAAGGCGAAGAGATCGGATTTTTTTTCATATTGCTCAATCGGTGTGAGAACTTTGTATTTCTGAATCTCACTCTAAACATGCAGCGTTTCTCGATACGCCTATTTAGCTGTAAGGAACTCATATGGGTAAAAATATGACGTAGAATTCAACAGACGTCTTTTTCGGATCTTTAGCAGGTTTCCAGAAGATCTGTATAAAACTTTCTAGTTAAAATGCAGGTTTTTGAGCTTCTTGTGAACTGGATTTGTTATTGATCGAATATTGGTGATTTATCTGAACTGTGCAAAAATCGATGGAACTTACGGAATTTGAATGTTTTCATTTATATGACTTTGACATATTTCAATATTAATAAAAGAGTTTATGAAACAAATCGGTTGTTTAACTTCTAGAATAGTTCATAAATGGCCACAAGTGTCATTAATGATAATTATGAACAGCAAGAAAATCATGGTGGTAAAAAGATTGATTCATTTTTTACCAGTATTCTAAACTTAAAATTGAAGCTAAAATGTACATTACAAATAAATATTTCAAAAACTCAGCTGATGTAGCAAGATTTATTGGTTCTAAATTTTATGAATTTAGAGGTTGAAGTAGAAGCAGATGACGAATTAATTCGTTCCGAAAGGATGTATCTGTTACAATTGAAACGGTGGGATGTAAAATTTGAATTAAAGAGCCTATATTTCGAAAGACACGAAAGCCAGAACGTGGTGCCTAATAGATTAATCATTTTTTAACAAGAAAGAATTATTATTTAGTGAGTGACGTTGATAATCCAGAATGGATGATACCAAGTCAGAATCCATGCATTTTAATATGTAAGTGAAGTCCTGTATAAGACTCAAATAATTTTAATTTGTCTTGTCATTCTTCTGTCTGTGTTATAGATCACATGTGTTTCATAAGTTTAGTTTCGAATCAAAGAGTCAACAGCTTTTAAAATATTAGAAAACAAGTTGAAACAAGTAGTAACCGTAAAATTAACATCATCCGCGGTTTGAGTGAGCGTATAGCTACTGGACGGTGGAAAAGTTACTTCTCGATTCCCGCAAGAAAACTTTTTTCATTTGCTAATGTAGAAGTTTCTAATTTTGTTGTTCTGTGAGGTGAAGAATTTGGTTTTAATGAAAACACATGCAAGGACCACTGTAAAACCGAGCAAAAATGAACGAAAAAACAAAATATTTTGCTCACTGCACTCTAAAAAAAAATGCGACTTTAGCGATGTGTCTACCGAGAAAAACTGTCTTTTGTATGACTACATTGCGTCTTCAAAATAATAGACGTCTTCTATATGCCTTCAATGCATCTACTGGTAGACATATAGAAGTCGCATAGAAGACATGTGAACCAAAAAGACGCTTAGTAGTCACATCTTCCCACCTTCCATGTGACTCTACTAGGTTTTTAATGACATAATTGGGAACCGACTTCAGTGTCTTCCATGTGACTTAGAAGTAGACGGATTGTTGTGACTACCACAGGTAGTCGCATGATGTGTCTTCCAAATAGGCACAATTATGCGACTAAATGGAAACCGACTTCCGCGTCGTCCAGGAAGTCGCATTTTTTTAGAGTGTGCATTTGAATAATCTTTTACAAAACCTTTAAAATTTTCAGCGATTTTATACCTGATTTTCCATAAGTTTATAAAATACTTCGAACTGCATCGATAAATCGATTCTATCTTAGAAATACTCTTCACTTACAAGTACTTTATTTAGATTCTTTATCTACAAAATATTTAACATACTGTTTGAAATTACTATTGTTAAAATCACTAAACTGATATTCGAGACTATCAGTCAACTGCTTTGTTTCAAAAATATTTTCATCGCCAATGTGTATTACTTCACCATAAATATTCAATACCTTCGTACGTTCACATAGCTCTTTTTCCTTTGGCAGATCTCTATTGCTACTGTCTTTCATCAGTGTACAGTCAGTTAGGATGTACAACTTTTTTATTACGTCATTCAGCTTTGCAAATTGGTTTAAACATTCCGATAATGTTTCGTAGACATGTGTCAATGTAAACGGAGATGCAACACTTTTTTCACCAGCTTCCGATATTTGTTGAATGTGAGCAGATAAAATTGTTGTGAAATTGAACAAAGGCAGTGTTTTGCTCCCATCACTTAGTAAGTAGACTGATACTATTACACTGTTACTGTATTTCCTTTAAATAAATACATAAATGAAAGACAAAAATTATCTTCACAGTTCATCTGGACTAAAAGAAACCTAAAAGCATCCATAAAAGCAACGATTTTTTCGCATCGTTACTGACAGTAAATATTTTGCAAAACTGCGAAGATAGCGATACATCGGCAAAAATACTTCTCGTTAACTTTTTTTGTATTGAAGGTAAAAGAAGAAATTAAACGAAATTATGTCAGATAATTCTTACCTTTGTTCTAAAATCTCATGTAAGAAGTTTTTCACTAATGATAGTGAGTTTATTTGTGTAAATAATAAATTTGAATACCATGGTGTTAAATTATTATTTGCTCCAACACACACTAAATACATTTCATATGTTTGCGTGTGTTTCGATGCTTTTAATAGTTCAGATAAATTTAAATTTGGAATGCAGGTTGTAGAAGTCGTCTGATTACAAGTTGGACAGTTTCGTTTTCCTGAATTGATCCATTGTTGAATACAATGATCACAGAATGAATGACCACAGGTTAGTATAACAGGATCAGTAAATTGATCGGTACAAATACTACATTCAAGATCTGTTTGAAGAAGATCGTTGTGTGAAGATAAAGTTGCCATTTTCCATGTGAATATGAAATCAAGAAAAAGAAAAGGGGAATAGTAACAACATGCTTTTTTAAAAATATTTGCTTTTCTGCGGATTGAAGGAAAAAACCCTTATATGAAAAAAACACGAATGACTCATTGTTATTAATCGTTCTTCTTCCAACAATTGTGTGAAGGTGTTCGATGTCAATATAGGCTACGTTGTAAAAAGACAACTGCATGTACATCCGAGCTGCTTTTCTTTTCTGTTTTGTTTTCTTATTCACGTTATATATAACGTGAATAAGAAAACAAAATAGAAAAAAGAAAATTACTATTTTTCGCAGCTCTATTAATCATAGTCATGTCTGATCTACAGTGTACACTATGCCATAGAATATTAACTGATCCATATTTCATTGCATGTGGTCATTCATTTGATAGACAATGTATTGAAGACTACCGAAGGCTACCGCGCGAGGAACAATCCTTCAAATGTCCTACCTGTAAAACAGTGGTAAATCCACATTTATTAACAAAAAATTATCAATTAGCTAACGTTCTTCAAACACTCGAGAGAACGACACTAACACCAGCAACAACGAATGACGCGATAATAATTCATGAAATGTATCTACTTGATATCAGTCATTCAATGTGGTGGTCCGATTGGACAAGTTTTCCATTTTTTGGTCTGATTGGACCTAGTCGATTCAATATAGCCCGACGTGTGTTGAGAGAACTATTTGAAAAAAGGTAAACGTTAGCAAAATGAGCTTCCGTTTGATTGCCCATCAGACATCATCCATCATTTGTGTTGTTTACTGTTTTTCAGGCAACCATCACCAGTCCATAAGGTTGCATTTCTTGTATTTGATTCCTATGCTCGTTCTGCTCCAAATACACAGAATTTTTCGACAATCACACAACAACATTTTGACGAATTAAATAAATTAGAACCAATTGGTAAGAAAACTGCTGTCTATGATGCGATTATGCACTGTCTTCGCCTGGCACCAGCCAATAGCCAGTACACTTCTCTAACAATATTAACTGATGGTGATGATAATTTAAGTAATCCAATAAATCGTACTCATGTAGCACGACAGAATGAAGATTTTATAATAAAAAAATCAAATGGATTACATATTAAAGGGCGTGTCATCCATATTGGAAATCAGAATATTGATAATACAAAATATCTATCGGATAGACTGGGTTACGAATTTCATCATGCACATAGTGGTAATGTCACAGCATTTACACAGGGCTTTATTCAAACTACAGATAATAATGATACTAGACTTGCAACAATAACAGCAAATCTCAATGAATTATCACGTCAGCAGCCAACCGCTTCAGTTACTACCACTAGTACCGTTACTGCTACTGTACCTACAAGAACGCCGCTGCGACCACTAGTAGCCACTGAAGATATTCTACTACAAGAATTGCTTGCAACCTCACCAGACGTACCGCGATCCACATCACGAATCAATGACTCACACCAAACATTCAGACAATTAGCAGATTAAATTCGGCAGAACTCGGCTTTATTCTGCAGAAATAATCGACATTTAGATTGAGTTCATTCACTTGCATCGCAGTCCTAAAAGTATTCGATATCTAAGAAGTATGATGATTCATAAGTGGAATCGCAACTCGTTCTGTCTGATTCATTGATAATATATATATATATATTGTCTTTTGTTGCTCTTGATTTTGTGCAATTTCGATATGTCGAAAGAATTATGCATTTTTGTCTCATAAAAATCGTTTTTTTGTCTCTGGTCATCCTTTACTGTGAAATTATGAATGTCTGATCTCAAGATCTAGAGTACGTAGAAAGTTTTTGAAAATCGTAGTAGATTTTCTGTATCAAGTTGCCATCGAAAATTAGAAAATAATAATATTGAGTGAGTAATGTTGAATTTGTTTAAGAGCAAAAACTGAAGTTATCATCGGAGTGTTAGAAATTAAACGTATGGTTTTGACGAAAAGTAGACATTAAAATACTTACTACTAAAGAAGACTAGTAAAAGGAAAGAAGTAAAATATCCTGCGTGTATGTGTGTATCTAGAGAAGAGAGATATGGACATATAGTGAAGGTGTTGTTGACGATAGATTTTCGAGAACCAGAGAAGCAATGGAGAACTCGGATTTCAGTTGGGCTGTTTGCTGTTGTGAGATCGACTTTTGTGGAACGTCAACCGATGAATTGCCATTACCACGGTTTCCTCGCGGTTCTCGCTGAACCGCGTAGCCGCTCTCCTCTCTTCATTGCAAGGATCTTTTCGGAATCCAGAATCGTTTCTGTGATTGTTCTGTTTTGTTTGTTTTGGGGTTTTTAGTTCACTGATATGTCACCACCAAGGGCAAGCAGGAAAGAAAGAGGAAAATCTCTCTTTATAAATATGTAATATAATGGGTTCAGATTCAGATTGATATCGTTGATATCGTCGCTGATGTCAGAAAGAAATTGAAGAATAACAATAATGAGTTAAATCTCAAATATAAAACGTCTCGGAATTCCCCGACCTCTCTCTTTATAATGTGCTTAATATAAGCTGTAAGATATCTTGCGTTTATGTGTGCCTAGAGAAGAGAGTTATAGACATATAGTGATGAACTATACAACCGATAGAGAGAAGATGGTGTTCGTAAATTCGAAAGCACTATCATTTCACACATTTCGTAAGACGTAGGTATCTTTTCTTTTCTTCCTATATATAGCCAGACATGTGCGCCAACAAAAAATTTTCGACGGTGACAAATGGAATTTTTAACATAGGCGGCGGAGCGAGGTTATGAAAATTTCCTGCGCCTTCGGCGGCGGTGTGTAAAAATTGGTTATCGACGGCGAATCTCCTTATTTAAGGAAAACAACGTTCTCTTTCATTTCTGGCACATTCTTCGCGCACCAACTGTATCTGTACGCTGCTGTATACGAAAAGATAGAAACGCGCTGCACACTAGATGGGGAATCGGGAAGTACGCCAATATGATTTTCGCCAACATCATCAGTGTACTTTCGTGAATACTACCCATGGTTTTTTGCCAATAATTCAGTTGCATGGTCTCTTCATGCAAGTTACAATTTTTTTCGAAGAATAACGACGAAAACAACGCAAAAATCTGAAAGAAAGATCGTCAAAGTGTTCATTTGGTAAATCTGCTGGACATGAAAAAGAAAACATTACAAGAAGTTGTCTTGGCCTTTTCGCTCTTGGTTGGTGCATCAGTGCTATGTCAAAAACGTGGGAAAAAGAAAAAACAAGATGTATCTCTATTGTCATCAGATGATGATTAGCTGGTTTCTATACTAGTGCGAATATTAAAGAGAGCGCGGGATATATTTTGGTAAAAAAATAATTTCGAAAAGCTTTTTCCTTAGGATGAAAACGTGACTTTAAGTCAAAAGTGCCATACTCTTCGGTGTGACTCTCCATCTCAGATATGAGTGACTGGAAAAAAATTTCGATTAAGTCATTCGAAAGAGCGTCCAAAATTAAGTAAGATAAATATAGTGTGAAAGTTAAGTGAGAGAATTGACCCATCTTTTAATATTTTGAATCATGAGGCTATTTTCGAAATATCTTTTCTGCACGGGAGGGTAAACATTTTTTGGATATCTCTGCGTCATCATGCAGTCAAGTAGTTAATGTATATGGGTATGAAAAGAGAAGTTTAGACTATTAAGTTCAGAGGGAAAAACGGATTTTTGAATATCAAAACCGGCTTTCCACCTATAAGAAACATTTTCCATCAAAAACTTTCGAACTGGAATTTATCAGTACATCAACACTTACTTTTGTCTAAGTAAAATATTCAACACTTCATATAAT